AGAGATAGACAACAACAACAACACATGACTGAGCTGTCTCCCGCCACCGCTTACAGAGCAAGCAAGGTTCGCCGAGCCGAGGCACTAGCCGACTCACGTCTCCCTCCGTCTGCTACGTGACGCTGGGACAACGTTTTTTTATTTTTTCTGCGAGGGAGCTGGAGGCTCGCTGCGCACCCCGCTGCCCAAGGACATGGACAGCCTGGAGCAGCTCGTCATACAACACAAGGTACGCACGACGATCTCCCAGCCAGCGCCTTTTCCACGGGGCGATGCGAGGCGGATGAAAAGTGTTGTGGCGGGAGTGGGGTGAAAAATATGGGGAATTTTTTTTAATAATAAAAAATAATATAAAAAAATATAAAAAATCTGCAATACCCAAAGGACATGGACAGCCTAGAGCAGCTGGTTATACAGCACAAGGTAGGGGCCCGGATGACAATCCCGATCCCAGTCGCTGTGCGGGTGGTGCGATGGGAGGCGCAGGTTGATGGTGTTGCGGATCAGGAGTGGTGTGGAAATGTTGTGCAGAAACTATAGGGTTTTATAGAGTAATTTGTATAGTGACGTGGGTGTTCGATAATGTGTATGTGTTAGTTAAATAATTAGGTAATGATGTTGTTGGAAGATGTCGCGGTGTACTGAAGGGAATGCGTGTAACCTACCTAAGCGCTACCTAATAAAATCAATGCTGATTTTTTTTCTCATTGGTGACAGGAGTTTGAGAACAGTCTGCAGCTGTTTGAGCCGAAAGGTTGAGTCGATACAGAAGCAGGCAGCGCGGCAGCATTCCTAAGGGAGGCATGAACGCCTCAGGTGCAGTCCACACTGAACCTGATGGTAGATAAGTGAGAGACCACGCTGTGGGCTCTCTCCACACATCTACGTCGAAAGGTAATCTATAGATATATAGGTAACTATAGATGCTGCTATAGCCAACTCTGCGATGAACAAATGTTGATTGCCAGTTAATTTTTCTCTGATTTCATGTAAGTAGAGGGTATCGTATACTAGGTACCCTGATAATCAATTGCTGTGGCTTGCTGGTCTCTGTCTTTCCCCATGAACCTTATCCCCCTCTTCCTTCCCTTCCTTTCTCTCCCTCACTCTCTCACGTTCCACCCTCTCTCTATTCCTTTCCCACCTGTCCCTTCCTCTCTCCCTTTGTCTGTGTCTCTCTTTCCTCTCCTCTCCTCTCTACCTTCCACACTTCTCTCCTACTCATTGACTGATCATCACTCTGCCTGCAGGTTGAAGTGCAGTGAGATCTCTCTCCTCTCTCTTCTCGCCTACCTCCCTACCCTCCTTCCTCCCTCTCCCTCTCCCTCTCTCCACTCACCCTCGCCATTCATTGACCGATCATTGCTCTGTGCACACATTGAAGTGCAGTGAGATCTGTCCCCTCTCTCCTCCCCCCCCTTCCCTCCCTACCCCTCCTTCCCACCCTCTCTCTCTCCCTCCTCCTCCTTCTCACCCTCCCCTCTGTCTCTCTCTCATCACTCGTTGACTGATCTGCCGCAGGTTGAAGTGCAGTGAGATCTGTCCCTCTCTCCTTCCCCCCTTCCCTCCCTACCCCTCCTTCCCTCCCTCTTCGCTCTCTCACTTCCACCCTCCTCTGCAACTTCTACTCATGACTGATCATCACTCTGCCTGCAGGTTGAAGTGCAGTGAGATCTCTCTCCTCTCTCCTTTCCCCCCTTTCCTCCCTACCCCTCCTTCCCTCCCTCTCTCCCTCTCCCTCTCTCCCTCCTTCTCCCCCTCCCCCTCTGTCTTTCTCTCATCATCTCGTGTGATCTGAATCGCCCAGCGTTGAAGTGCAGGTGAAGAATCTGTCTGAACGGTCGCGGAGGAAACAAGTGGGCATCGTGTCGAGTAATGAGGTGCTGCTAGCGTCAGCAGGAACAAGATCCGTGCGATGTCTCCAGGCTCCAGCGGAGTCCATGCTGGCTTCATTGTAAGTAATGGGAGGTAGGAGGAGGAGGAAGGAGGAGGTGGCTTGGGAGGGTGGAGAAGGAGGAGGAGGAAGAGAGGAGGAAAGAGGAGGAATAGAGGAGGAAAGAGGAGGAATAGAGGAGGAAAGAGGAGGAATAGAGGAGGAAAGAGGAGCAGAGAAGCCTCATAAACGAATACCCTTTATGAGAACAATTTGAATAGAAGACTTAATGAACATTATAGATACTGTTGATACTTGGTAAAGTGGGTGATGCCTAGCTTTGATGGTATCTGGTAGGCTCACGTAATGATAATTTCCGACGCACCTGGTGCTGAGATTGCTATTGTAACGCTAACCTTCGATGTTTGTGCGTTGCCGTCAGTGACTGCAGTCTTAAGCTTGCAAGAAGCATCAGCGTGCCGATCGATTCCGGCTCGGCGAGGACGCATGGGTCTGCACGATGCCCGCCCTGGTGGAGCACAGCCGCGGCTCTGCTCAAGATGTTCGGCACAGGAGACGTCAGAGAGGCTGAGAGAGAGGTGAGCTGTGTGGGCGGCGCATGGGAACGTGTGCACACAGGTCGCTGATGGTACGCGAGAGAGAGAGAAGAGTAGAGGGTGGAGGGAGAGAGCCAAAAAGGAGAGAGTGAGAGAGCATTTGGATGGAGAGCGTGTGAAGAGAGAGAGAGAGACAGAGAGAGGGGGAGATGTAACGAGAGGTAGCATGTAAAGAGACAGAGAGAGAGAGAGAGAGAGAGAGGAGAGAGAGAGAGAGATGAGAGAAGAGAGAGACGAGAGAGAGAAGAGAGAAGAGAGAGAGAGAGAGAGAGAGAGAGAGAGAGCATGTGGACGATGAGTTTTTGAACTGTGGGAAAAATCGTTCGACATACTCACATGACCACGTCGCATCGTTGTTGTCGTTATAGAGAGAGGGTGAGAATGGGAGAGAAGTGGTGTGGAGGAGATAGGTGTGTAAAGAGAGAGAGGAGAGAGAGAGGAGTTCTTCAAACGTGAAAAGCTCAACGTCATTCGATCGACGTCGCATCGGAATATGCGTGACCACGATGTCGCATCGTTGTTGTCGTTGTAGGTGCCGCGGGGTGGAGAAGGCCAGTGAGCATCTCATCCTCTACCAGCAGCAGCATCCCGAGGAGAAGACGTGGGTGTCGAACATGCAGCTACAGGTCAAACACCTGCCACGCCTCGCTGAGTCCGTCGTCCAGGCGCGGGCCCAGTTCCAGCCGGCCATGGTGAGCGCACGCGCGCACGCATGCATGCACGCACGCACGCACGCATTCACACACGCACGCGCGCATGCACACACACACACGTACGCGTACACGGGAAGTGTTACTATAGCCATGGGGTTACTATAGGCATGTGGTTATTGTAGGTTTGGGGTTACTATAACCCTGGGGGTTCCCATGGCCCTGCGTTTCTACTGCTGTTATTTATTTATCACTACTGCAGACAAACTGCCCCTTGAAATTGGTGCATCGTAGATGTTATATTTGCGTCAATGTATATATAGGTGTGCATTGTACAGGTAGTGCATGACTAGAGATTCCATATCGAAACCAGGAATATATCGAAAACAAGAGTAGTACAAGTTTAGCTTGTAATCACCATGATAACTTGATGATTTGAGCACATTGTTGTGAAAGCGTCTGCTTCAGTTAAATTGACTACGTCACGAATTGTCTATGGTAAAATTTGTAAAATTTTTGTTGCCATTTTTTACATTAAAAGTAAGAACTAATTGGACTAAACGTATCGTCAAATTCTTACCTGATAGGATTGTTTCTCAACTAGTTAAAAATCCAATAAACCTGGATGATTTGATATTAGTGTTCCTGACATTAATTCCTTGCTATGGGCTATGTATGAGTCACGAGTGTATGTTTACATCGAACAATATAGCAAAATAAGAAGTATAGTGCAGCAATTTAACCATAAAAAGTGAACAGAATTACTTATATTTTGTGAAAAAGTGGAAATATATTTTTCTTTTTTTACTATTTACGGTGACTTAATCACTTTAACTGTGACATACAAGCCTGACGTTGTGTATCTCTCACGCAGAATATGTACAATGCTCTCGGTGAGAGGAAACCATCCGTGGAGCAGGTGAACAGAGATGGAGGACGATACATCCGTGAAGCAAAGGTACTTCCCCCACCCCTCTCTCTCTCTCTCTCTCTCTCTCTGTCGCTTTCTCATTTTCTCTCTCTCTCTCTCTCTCTCTCTCTCTCTCTCTCTCTCTCTCGTCTCTCTCTCGTCTCTCTTCTCTCTCTCTCTCTCCTCTGCTCTCTCTCTCTCTCTTCTCTCTCTCCTCTCGCTCTCTCGCTCTCTCGCTCTCTCTCTCTGTTCTGGTCTGTTCTGTCTCTCTGTTCTGTTTCGTCTCTTTCTCTCTATCTCTCTCTCTCTCTCTCTCTCTCTCTGTCGCTTTCTCATTTTCTCTTTCTCTCTCTGATGACTAGTACCAGCCTTAATCCTTGGAATCCTTTTCTCTTCTTTAGAATAATGTTTCTTGTAATCAAAATCATCATTAAAAAAAAACTATTATAGTAATGATTACCAAAATAAAATGAAACCATTATATAACCACAATAATAATGATAATTTAACTAATGATCGGCATCGATCATTTCATGTGCCCACCTCTGTGTGATGTGATATGACCCATGCCTCGCATGATCTGACCCCATGCCTCGCTCGTGTCTCGCGTGATCTAACCCTTCCCTCCCCCCTAGATCTACGACCTGAAGCTGCGAGCGTACAGGAGAGCCTGGAGGACGTGCACCCGAGCCTCGACGCGAGCGTGAAGAAGAGGCGGCGTGCGGCGACCGGGTCGGAGCGAGTCAGCGACGAGCTCGACACCCTCAACAAACACTACCTGGACATGGTCGCCGTGGTTACGGAGCGCGTCAACAGCCTCGCCCGCATCCTATCACAGGCCAGACGACGTCGACGTGAGTGCACGCGACACGACGATACGATTGGTTTACCATGCGAAAGTCGATTAACAGGAAGGCGGTCGAAAGAGTTAAATTCGTTAAACGTCGATGACTGCTGCTCTGTAGATCTAGAGGTTTTATCCTTGATCTCTCATCTCTAGATTGTATTATGTTTTATATCAATATTATATATATATATAAATAAATAAATATATATGTAAATACATAATTTTATATATTATATATAGAGAGGTATTATAAGCTCTCGATATCATATTTATATAAGTGTTATGTGCAATGCTTTTGCTTATATGCGCGATGCTTATGTGCAAAGTTTTGCTCGTTACTTACATTGCGTTAACGACCGGCGCGATTGCTGCTTGCCTGTTGTTTAGTATACCGCTTCTGCTTCACTCTCTGCTCTCTCTCTCTCTCTCTGTCTCTCATGATGCAGTTCAAGATAGACCAGGTGTCGCTGATCAGTCTGAAGACGTTTCGCTCGGACCTGCACATGCAGCAGAACGGTGACGACATGCATGACAAGTTCAGTCCTCTCATGGCGACGCTCACAAACAAGACAGGTTAGTCCGCTTCACCCGTGTAGTCCTGGATTTCCCCATGTCCCACGTCCCACGTCCCACTAGCGGCTAGTAATCAAACATAAACATGATGTCAAAATATTCATGACAATACATCAGTGTTGCCTTCTTCATTTTGCTTATGCAGCGGGCGTCTTACAGGGGGGGGGGGGGGCGGTCCAGGGGGTCCGGACCCCCCTCGCTCGGCCATAAAACGCATCTAAGCCGGGTCTAATTTCAAAATTTTCAGACCCCCCCCCCCTTCGCTTGTGCTCGCAAGTTTGGGTTACGGTTAGACCCCCCCCCCCCTGGTACAAATCCTGTACACGCCCCTGTTATGGTGGGCGAAGGCGGGTACCAGGAGATAGCGTAAAAAAATTAGGGGTACGGGGAGTCCAAAAGATTGGGAACCACTGCACTAGCATTTATAGCTAATTGTACACCTAGTGCGGCCGCATTGTGTCCTGTCATTGTGAGGTGGTAACACGCAGCACGCTGTCACGGATGCTGTAAAGGAAAACGTCTATTTGTTAGGGATCGGCTCGTGAAGAGACGTTATGTTCACCAATTTTCACGTGGAAACTTGGAGAGAAAAAGTTTTGAACTATTTAATGTTGCAAATATAAAAACCCGGAAAAATTCATGAGCAAAGCCCTCGTAGCGTATCGTTAGAGTGTATTTCCGTGCTAACCGATGCAATCTCTCGTTCTCCTTTCTCAAGTTGTTACGGTTACCTCTCTTTTCTCCCATTCTTCGTCTCTCGCGTTCTATACTTTCTTCTCTCTTATTCCCACCTTACTTTAAATTGACTACGTCACAAATTTTCTATGCTAAAATTTGCGTAAAATTTTTGTGCCATTTTTTTTACATTAAAAGTAAGAACTAAGGGCGGACTAAACGTATCGTCAAAATTCTTACCTGATAAGCATTGTTTTGCTCAACTAGTTAAAAATCCAAAAAACCTGGCACGATTTGATATTAGTGCTTCTGACATTAATTGCTTGCTATGCGGCTATGTATGGTTCACGAGTGTATGTTCACATCAAACAATATATTAAAATAGGAACGATATAATGCAGCAATTTAACCATAAAAATGTGAACAGAATTACTTAATATTTTTGTGAAAAGGTAAAAGGCGTGGAAATATTTTTTTTATTTTGTTTTTAAAATATTTACGGTGACGTCATCACTTTACTCACGCATAGTTAACGCCACATGTCACTGTCGTTGCAGGTCTGATGGGATCGGCTCCCAGCAAGGAGGAATACGACACAAGCATGGACGTGACAGACGACACCAGCAGCAACGGGGGCGTGTCGCACGCTCAGCTAACCATCGCTGACGCCGCCGCCTCGCGCAAACGCGCTCCGCACGCCGAGGTCCTACAACGCTCCGCCGCCGCAGAAGACGAAACAAGTGGCGCCCCCACCTCGTCGTCGTCGGCGATCGTGCTGAGCGAGGTCGTGTCGCGGAAGCGGCGCGTTGCCGCGGCGACGCTCATCGTTGCCGTGCGCGGCATCAAGAACCCGATGACTGGTGAGGTAGTGAGCGCGGCGGAGGCGTACGCCATCGGCCTCCTCGACGCGCCGACCGGACAGTTCGTCGACCCGAAAACCGGCCACAAGATGGCGCTAGCGGAGGCGGCGCGGCGCGGACACATCGAGAAGGCGCTGCTCGAGAAGCTTATTGCGAAGCGCGGCATCCGCGACGTCCAAACAAGAGAGCAGCTGAGCATCGTCGAGGCGATCGCGCGCGGCGCGTACGACCCGGCGACGGGGATGCTGCGGGACGCGCGCTCGGGGCGTCTGCTCGACGTCGACGACGCGGTCGCCGCGGCGATGGCCGACGCGGACGCCGTCGACGCGATGGTGGCGGGCGGCGTCGTCCGTCCGGCGCGCATGAGCGTCGGCGAGGCGATCGCTCGCGGCTGCCTCAGCGCGCACACGGGAGAGTTCGTCAGCCCGCAGACGGGCGACGCGATGCCGCTCACGGAGGCTGTCGCGCGCGGACACGTCGCCCTCGACGACGCGCCGCCGTCGCCGGGCGTCGCCCTCGCCGACGCGCTCGCTCGCAACATGGTCGACAATCGCACGGGCGCGTTCGTGCACGCCGACACGGGGCAGCGGTGCGCGATCGACGCGGCGGCGGCGCGCGGCTACGTGAACCCGTACGTGCGCGAGATCGTCGTCGACGCGGCGACGGGCGAGAAGACGACGACGGCGGAGGCGATGGCGCGCGGCGTCGTGGACGCGCGCGCGGGGAGGTACGTCGATCGCTCCGTCGCCGCCGGCAACCAGACGACGAGCCTGTACGTCGCGCGCGAGCGGATGCTCATCGTGAAGCCCTACACGCTCAAGGAAGGACTAGACGTCGGGCTCATCGACGAGCGGCGCGGGCTCTGCACCGACCCGCGCACCGACCGCAAGCTGACGCTGCTGGAGGCAATCGCCGCGGGCGTCGTCGACGCGGACGCGCGCTGCGTCGTTGCCGCGACGACGGGCGACGTCGTGAGCGTCGCCGCGGCGCTGCGCGCGGGATTGGTCAACGCGTTCTGCCGAGTCGTCGACGACCGGACGGGCGAGACGCTGCGGCTCGGCGAGGCCGCCGCGAGACGGCTCCTCGTGTCGGGCGCGACGTGTCTCGTGTTCGACCTCGACGACGTCTCGATCGGCGGCGAGACGATGTCGTTCAACGCGGCGGCGAACCGAGGCGTCGTCGACACGGCGACGGGACGAGTCGTCGTCGCGGCGACGGGACGGAGGCTGACGCCGGACGAGGCGGCGGCGGCGGGCGTCGTGACGAGACGGCTGCACGCGGCGCTCGCGTGCGAGACGCGAGACCCCGAGGCTGAGACGACCGTCACCGTGTCTCGCGCGATCGCGAGACGTCTCGTCGACCCCCTCACGGGGAACGTCCTCGACCCCGCCTCGCGCCGCTACGTCACGCTGGCAGAGGGCGCCGCGATCGGCTTCCTCCCGCGCGACGCGGCCGCCGAACTCACCGAGAAATTCTTCGTCTTGGTCGCCGACCGGCCCGCCGACGTCGCCGAGGTCACCGCGGAGGTCGCGCCGCCGACCCGCGAGGAACTCGTCGCCATGGCGACCGCGCTCGGTGCGCCGCGCGATGGACTCACGCTGAAGGAAGCGATCGAGCGCGGGATCGTGGACGCGACGACGGGAGAGTTCCGGGCGCCGCGAAGCGCGCACGTACTCACGCTCGCGGACGCTGTCCGTCACCGGCTCATCGACGGACGGTCCGCTCTCGTAGCGAACCCGGCGGGGAAGAGCATGAAGCTGTACAAGGCGCTGAGGAAGGAAGTGTTGCTGGACGCGCGAGGTCACTACACGGGCGCGTCCGGAACGACCTTGACCCTCGCCGCGGCCGTCGAGCAAGGCTACGTCATCCTCGAGCCGGTGAGCATGGCGAGGGAGACGCCCGCGGAGAAGGAGAGGGAGGAGCCGGAGGAGGAGAGGACGGAGGTGACGACGACGAGCCTCGTGATGGCGCGGACGTCGCCGGAGGTCGCCGCCAAGGGGCGCCACGCGTCGGCGATCGCCGTCGGCTCGCCGGTCGCCGCTGACGTCGCCGCGGCAACCGCGGAGGAGGAGCGCACGATCAGCTTCTCGGAAATCTCGTCGCGGAGGCGCGGCAGCAGCATCGCGCTGCTCGACGCGGCGCGTCTCAGACTCTACGACCCCGTCTCGGGACGCTTCGCCGACCCCACGTCTCGCGAGACGATGCCGCTCGCGAAGGCGGTGCGCCGCGGCCTCGTCGACCCCTCCATGCCCGCCTACGTCGACCCGCGTCTCAACCGAGTCGTGACGCTCGCCGAGGCGTTCGAGACGGGCGTCGTCGACGCGCGGACGGGCGTGGCGGCGGCGGCGGGGACGGCACGGCTGCTGCTGCGACAGTGGGCGCGCCCTAACATCAACGTCGCAGACGCCGTGAAAGTCGGCATGCTCGACGCGGAGACGGGTCGGTTCTCGCGAGACGGCGAGACGACCACGCTCGGCGAGGCGCTGCGACGCGGCCTCGTCGACGGCGCGGGCGGGACCGTCGTCGACCCGTCGTCGGGCGAGAAGCAGACGCTGGCGGCGGCGATGGCGGCCGGGCGCGTCGACGCGGCGACGGGTGCGCTACTCGACGCTCGCGGCTCCCCCGTGCTGTCTCTCGGCGACGCCCTGCGGGGCGGACTCGTCGAGAGCGCGTACGATCGCGAGACGGGCATGATGTTCGACGCGGCGACCGGCAACTACATCTCGCTGGCCGCCGCCATCGTGTACGCGCACGTCGACGCCGACGCGCTGCTCGTCGTCGACGCCGCGACAAGCGAACAGCTGTCGATGGACGACGCGGTCGCGCGGGGCGTCGTCGACGACGGCACGGGAGAGTACGTGCATCGCGCGACGGGCGAGCGGACGTCCGCCGCCGCCGCCGTGCGAGCCGGTCTCATCTCCGTCGCCGGCGCCCCCGTGTTGTCGGGCGTCGCCATGACGACCGCTGCGCGGAGGGAGAAGTCTCCGGGGAGGACGACTACTACCAACGGTTTCACGGAGGGAGGACACGCCATCGAGGAGATCACGGTGCGTCCGGGGCAGACGGTGTCCGTCGAGAACGTCTCTTCGTTCACCGACAGCCGCAGGACGACGCAAGTCACCGGCGCGACCGTCCTGAAGGGCGTCTCCGCCGCCGAGATCACCCGCCAGGAGGCGCTGCGTCCCCCGCCGCCGGTCGCGGCGGCGTTCGACGACATACAGAACGTGCGGGTGGACGCGGCGGCGGGACGAATCACCGACCTCACGACCGGAGAAGAGATGTCGTTCGCAGACGCCGTCCACCGAGGCATCGTCAACGCCGACGCGTCGACCGTGATGAATCCAAACACGGGCGTCGCCGTGACGATAGCTCAGGCGGTCCGCGAAGGTCTCCTGCATCCGGAGAAGCTCACGATGATCGACCGCACCACGGGAGTGACGATCGAACTCCAGAGGGCGCTGCGCAAGGTCACCGTCGTCGGGCGCCCCGAGGTCGCCACGGTGACGGCGGGCGACATGATCGTCGACCCGTACACGGGCGTCGTCACGGATACGGCGAGCGGAGAGACGTGGAGCCTCGAGGACGCGGCGCGCGCGGGAGTCGTGTCGCCGACGGCAACGACCGTCCGCGACCCGGCGACGGGACGAGAGATGTCGCTGCGCGCGGCGATAGAAGCCGGGGTCGTCGACGGCGACACATACCAGATCTGCAATCTACAGACGGGCGAGTACACTTCGCTGTCAGACGCCATCCGCGCCGGCCTCCTCCCGAAGATTGCACTGACGACGACGGTGGAGGCTTCGCCGGAGGTCGTGACCCCGGAGGAGGCGCGCGCGCTGGACATCGACCCGACGACGGGGCGTATCCGCGACAACCGCACGGGCGAGGAGATGAGCATCGAGGAAGCCATCCGCGCGAACCTTGTCAGCATCGACGCGACGACCGTCGTCGACCCGGCGACCGGACGCGAGACGTCTCTCGCGGACGCGGTCGCCGCGGGAACGCTCGACGCGCGCACGCTCGAGATGACGGACGCGCGGACGAGCGCGAAGATGTCGCTGACGGATGCCGTCTGCGCGGGACTCGTCGCCAAGGTAACGTTCGTGCGAGAGACGCAGCTGACGATGACGATACACGGGACGGTGCGGCGCGACGCCGCGACGGGAGAGTACGTGGATCCGGCGACGGACGAGCGGATCACGTTCGGCGAGGCGGTGGCGCGCGGACGGGTCGACCTCGCAGCGTCCGCGATCCGAGACCCGGCCACGGGTCGCGAGACGCGCCTCGACGACGCGATCGCGAGAGGCTGGGTCGACGCGGCGACGGG